CACTTGCAGGGGAGGGCCTAAGGATACAAAAGCTGGGAAAACCAGGAGGCTGGTCCCTTGCCATTTTGTAAGGTTGTCTGGAACCACCAGATTTATGTCTGGGTGTGGACTTTAGAACACAGCCATGAATGGGGGCAGGCGCTGCCTGTCTGTAAGTAAACCCGCACTAAGTTCAGTTAGCAAGTCCAATAAACTTATTAAAATTCTTCAAACCTGGGTTTGTAGAATTTTTTCCTCAGGTTTTTGAAAGGACCATGGGAGGAGGGGCTTGGATGCCAAGTGCACCTCCCAGCAGTGAATTTGACTTACAATTGGCGTAGCCCAGCAGGAAACAGTGACACTGAGAATGAGTTTTGGAAGAGCATTGATAATGTCTCTGATATGGGGAAAGAGACCAACAACCAAAGTAAAGTGGGGTGAAGGGAGAGTGTGGGCTGAGGAAATGTTAACCTGGTGGGCCATTCCCATAGGCTTGGTGGGGGTGGCTGCAGTGGCATGGTTAATGCAGTGGACAGTGAGATATGTAACTAGGGTGAGGCCTTCTAAAAGGTCGAGGTTGATGGGAGAGACCCCAGGGTGGCAGCCATGGTGTAGATGGTATGGGGTGGCACACCTGCTTGAGTCATGGGGGCTGCCACGTGAGTATGGAAAGGCCCTGAAAACAGCAGAAGTCTGGAACAGATTCTGCAATATCTGGGAGTAGCACACCAGGGACACAAATGTCAAAAAGCAGCTTCAGAGGCTGCTTGGACGCTGCTATTGATAATAAGAAACCTGTTCCAGGCAGAGGCCTTAGCCAGAAGGAAAACTGAAGGTGTTAGAGAGGAATTAGAATGGGAGAGGGATATGAGGCTGGCCTCTTCAGTACTGGCATCTGACCTTGCCAGTAAATTAGATAAGAGAAAAAAAGGAGATGGAGGTGTTGGCATGCCATTTTTTACAAAGTCTAGGAGGTCAAAAGGGAAAAAAAGCCCAGATCAGAATGATAATAAAAGGCCCATCCTGGGATCCTGAAACCTGGAATCCCTGGGAAGAGTCCAGTAGTGAGGAAGAAGGAAGTGACCTAGAGATAGTGGGAGATGCTCCTCAGTCTGAATTTTAATTCAAAGAAAGGGAAAATCCATGGTCCAACATGCCGATGGAGGTCTCAATAATAGCCCCATTTGGTCTATCAGGAAGTCAGATGGCTCCTGGAGAATGACTGTAGATTGCCAGGAGTTAAATAAGGTGGTGCCTCCAGTTCATGCAGCGGTGCCCAACATTACACTGCTAACTGATCAGCTCGTGCAGGAAATGGGGTCCTTCCATGCTGCAGTGGACTTTGCTAATGCATTCTTTAACATTCCTCTAGCTGCTGAATCCAAGATCAGTTTTCATTCACATGGAATGGATGACAATGGACTTTCAGAGTACTTCCCAAGGTTACCTCCACAGCCCCACGGTTTGTCATGGGGTGGTTGCCCAGGACCTGGCCCTGTTACCCTGCCCTGATTCTGTAAGGAGGAGCCACTACATAGATGACATAATGCTAACTTTTGAGTGCCTTATAGATTTGGAAGCTCATTTGGGGAACATGCAAGTGCACCTGAAGGAGCAAGGATGGGAAATCAACCCACAGAAGGTACAAGGGCCCAGTACAGTGGTAAAATTCTTAGGAGTTTTATGGTCAAGCAGAACTTGCATGATACCCAGTGCAGTGGTTGAGAAAATCTTACAGCAACCTGTACCAATAAATGCTAAGCAGTTACAGGTATTTGGGGACTTCTCAGTATTAGAGGATTTTCACACCTCACCTTGCTCAGGTTACCTGCCCCCTGTATAATCTAATATAAAAAAGTGCTACATGGGATTGGGATGTAAAGGCCCAGTTTTGACCCCTGTGGGCATTGCACTGCATGGGTGCACCTACTTACATACAGGCAATATACTCATACACATACAATTTAAAAAATAGATAAAATATTAAAAATAAATAATAAAACACAAGATAAGATATTTAAAATATGCAGTTTGAAGAGAAAATGATTGTAAGTTCAAAGTTAGAAGGTTCTAGGTAAAGAAGGTGTAAGTTTTTTAAATTGTATTTTTTATTGAATTTTTGTGATTTTCATAGAATATTGTTAAATGATATTTATATTCCATTTCCCATTCACACCTCCCGTCACTGACCCTGCCCAATGTGATGTATGTATACATAACAACCTATAGAGTCTGATTTCTGTCCCAAAATGTCCTTCAGTGTGTGTCCATTCCCTGGGCCCACCAAGAGTAGAAGTGGTAAAAATTCCCAACTCAACCTAAGAACTTCTGGCCATTGGTGGCTACCTAAAGGAAGAGAAACAGTTTCTTATAAGAAGGTGTAAGTTTTAAAGGTATAGCACCTATGCAAAGAAATGTCCTCTCATTCTATGCACATTGACCAGCTGTGGGTATGTGTGTGAAGTCAGCATTTGTGACAACATGGACATGACCTGTGTAAACACAATCTACACAATACCAGCTGCTGGGAGAGGGCGAGGCAATTTTCTTCAAAGTTATGACCCTGGATAGGTTGACCAGGCTCTATGGGATGGACCCAAACCCAAGAGCATTTGGAAAACAAAAATTAGACACAATAGGCTTTTAAAAAAGTGATGGAGAACATGTTTGGGGAGGCTTAGTGCATAGTGACATGGATGTGGGGATGGGGGGTGGGTCTCAATATTAAAATATGTTGTATGAAATTCTCAAATAATCAATAAGAAAGTATGAAGATCCTGTTCTGCACTGGTATAGTATGATAGGTACCCTGAAGGGAATATCCCACTTATCCAAGTCTTCAAACCTCTGAAATTACAAATCCATTAGAAGAGAACCTAAAATGAGAATACCTCCACCGCCAAAGTCCCCTGCTTGAAAACTCCAAAAACAGTTTTTCCCCAGTATCATCCTCAAAGGCACACAGAAGCCTCTACAATTTTGGTAAAGGAGGCAAATCTCCATCTTAAGATTACATCTGAACTTGACAGATTCATCTATGTTCATGTAGTACTGATTTTGCAGGGATAAAGTGAATGCATAGGGGCTTCATCACAGCTTGCTCCAAGGTTTTAGAAGGCTGTTGAGGTCAGGTAATGTTTTATAGGGTTGGATTCCTTGCAAGGTAGTCCTAAGCAGTCACTGTATGAAGCTGGGTAGGTGAAATCTTCTTTGTAATGAAGACTCCATGTTATTGGTGATATCAGGACTGTAGGACATCCACAAAGAAAAATGCATGCATGGTGTGAAACCTGGCCGTGAGAGAGGTTGTGTGTGCTTCAGGAAGCAGATCTGGATGGGTGGACGTACCCAGGACCTTTGGATCCCAGAGAATTCTACCACAAGCCCAAGATTACCTACATGTAGCTGTACAATTTGGTATTTCCCTTGTTTCGTTCTTGTTTTAGTCTGATATTTCCTTGCCATGACTTCAGTTTCTCCCTTTTGGGGTAGAAATTTGCACTTGGCCACTGTACATGTAAATATGTACCTTGGTTTCTGATTGTATAAGAGCTCATAGTTAAGAGGTTCTCTGAGTCTCGCAAGAGGCTCTCTGCTTACACTTTTGAGAAATGATGGAACTGATAAAGACTGATAGGAAATTTGTAGTTGAACTGAATGCTTTCTGCATTATGAGATGGCCATGAGACCAAAGGGATAAAGGGTGGATGAAGACTTCCCTTAGGCAAAGGGTTGGTTTGTGATGGTTAATATTGATTTTCAAATTAACATGGTCTATAATCACTTAGGAGACAAAGCTCTGGGCGTGTCTATAAGGCAGTGTTAAGATTGTGTTAAGTGACTTTTGAAGACACAACTTGTATGTGAATGGAACCATGCTATAGGCTGCTGTCCCAAATTAATAACAAGAGAAATTGTGTTGAGTATCAGAATTCAAATCTCTGCCTCCTGACTGTGGATGCAATATGACCAGCTCTCTTTGAGCACTACCACCCCTAAACCACCTTCCCCTATGCCCTCCCTTCCATGATGAAATACATCCCCTCACACTGACAGAGAAAATACACCATTCCTCCTTTAAGTTGCCTTTGTCAAGCACTTTATATATATATATATATAGATATATATGTATATATTATAATATATATGCAATATATAATTATATATGTATATTACAATATACATCTGTTACCCTGGGAAAAAGACAACGTTCCATTAGTGAATTAAGAAATAACTTTCACAATATGTTTTTTTTTTTTTTTGAAAAACCCTGTCTTTTTTTTCCCCTGGAAATCCTAGAGAATACTCTTTGGGATTACCACTGGATTGATACCTGATATTCTTTATCTAGAAGAAACAAAACAAAACAAAATAAAACAAAAAACATTGACAACAGTTTTATTAGGATCCAACTTGACATCTTTTATTCATAAAAATGTACATTAAAAAATTGCTTCTAATTAATGATAAGGCTGAAGTTTTGGTAAATCTTTATGGGAATGTTGAAAAAGTCTCACCTTTTTAAAAAATATTGACTTTGTTGTCCATACACATATGCTTCTTTCAAAAACTTCAACTTAAGGGAAGAATACAATGGCTAGACCTTTTATGAAAATAATGTGTGCTTTGTATCGTAACTGTTGCAGATGCTTCTAATATACAGCCCTGACTTAAAAGTGTATTACTTTACCAAACTGTAATCTCCTCCAAACCATCTTGACAAATATGTTCTTATTAAGAAGTAATCACTCAGGTGCTGGCTATTTTATATTATGCATATTTTGCATGGGATGTTTTCTTTTTCCTTTTTTTTTTTTGGTCTTTTTGATGTAGACCAGGCTGGCCTTGAACTCACAGAGATCCACCTGCTTCTGCCTCCCGAGAGCTGGGAATGAAGGCGTGCACCACCATGCCCAGCAGGATGTTTTCTTTTTATACGATTGATTCCTCTTATTTAATCAATTTCATGACGTTTATGTAATTTTAATTGAGGCAGAGGTTGAGGGCCTCACGTAGCCATTTTATAAACTAAGATTAGGTCTTTTAGAGGGAGGTGATTTGTCTTCTTCATCTTCATTTTTGTCATCTTGTTCACCATCTCCGTTATCGTTGTTATCATTGTCATCATCATCTAAATTCACTGAAGCAACCCTCGGACTAGAGTGTGCTCTATTCATCCTGTTACTGTCACCATCAGGATATGATGAAGAATATCTGAAGGCATCAGACGATTCTCTTTCTGGGTGTTCTTTATTTTCATTTGATTTTTTACCTTTAGTTTCCATAAACACATTGTAACAACTTGGAAAGTCACTTCCCATTGATGAAAGAGCTGTTTCTTGTTCTTTTTTCTTAGAACATATTTCTTCCTTGACTTTTACCTCAGTGACTGTGCTAGGTCTGCAATATATTTTATTGTATGCAATATTATGAAAATTCCTCCTTGATTTATTTTCACTTTCCTTCAATTCTTCATACTTAATCTTCAACTCTTTAAATGTTTGAACGTATTCGGTTGATTCAAAAGCCACAAAAAACTTTTCAACAATGTGTGTAACAAGAGAACTGATGTTTTCCTCTTTTATAAATTCAAATAATTCAATAATAGCTGAGTTTAACATATTGTACCGCGTTCCATTACTCACAAAAGCATTCACAACAGGCTCAAAAAGATTTCTGTTGATTATATAATGATTATAAATTTCATCCTTAAGACCAATCATCTTTCTCATAAACCGGACAACACTCAAGATCAGAAAGGTGTGTTTTGAACTCATCAACACCAACACAGTTTTGAGCAAATTTTTGCTCAAAATACAGTTTTGAATATGGGTTGGGTGATGTTCCACACAAAATGTGAGTAATCCCAAAATTAAACTAAGCATCTGGGCAGTTTGATAATTGTCAGGACAAAGTTCTTCCTTGTCAGGTTCAAATATGTAATCTTCACTATCTTTTTGGGCTGCAATAGATAATAGTGGTGCTATCAAGGTATGCATGCAACGTGTATAGAAGAAATTTAGAAATTCCCTTCTTTCAAATTCTTTAGCTTTTTTAAGGTTTTCTAGATCCAGTAAACAATGAAGAACTCCTACCAAGTTGATGTGAGGTGAAAATTCAGGATCAGCATCACAGATCAATTGTGCAATTATTATGTTAATGAGAAGGTCGTCATCATCTTTACACTCCTGAGCTTCTTTCATTGCATACTGTTGGACTATACATGGATTATAATCTACAAGAAGAGTAAATATATGTATAGCAGCTACCTTTATTCGGCAATGGTTCTTTTGTATTATAACTTTAAGAATAGGCATGATTCCATGTTCTATCATTATTTTCAGTAATATCTGTCTTTTTTTAGGCAGTAGTGCCTGGGAAAATTCACAGAATTCCTTGAAAAAAAGTAACAATTCACATCGTCTCTCACTATCTATGGCTTCATCTTTTAACTGTGCAAAAACATTGGACAAAAACATTTGATCTTCCTGTAGCATGGTAACTATTTCAATTTTGTTGAAAAAAATAAAATTTCTAAGATCAGAAAGAAGATTTTCTTCAAATATGGATTGTATAGGCAACAGAATGTCATGAATATACTGTACTCTGTAGGTCTGGTGTATTTTTTCCTGAAGTTCGGAATGTGCTATTGGCATGACTTCTTTGAACTTTGCATTCTGAGTCAGGAATTGTCTGTGTTGTCTTGGCTCATCCAAACGAGGATCATATTCAAGGCAACCTACCACATCCATGATACACTCCTCAGAAAACATGATGTCAAACAAAGAATAGTTATCGAGGAACAGAATTCCTTTAACAACGCTATACAAATGGTGCAAGGCTTCAATGTTCCCTTCGATCTCAGAATCACGGAACAACTGCAATAATTTCTTGATATAACCCTCATTTTCCAACATCAGAGCCAGATCTTCCTTATGTTTTGGATTGTCAAAGCCAGAATTAAGTAAATATGAAATGTATTGAAGTGTACTGAGTTTGCACTTTGCGGTCTCATCCAGATTCCAGATTTGTGGCATTTTCGTAAATCTTTCTAAACCGGATGGAAGGTCTTGTGTGATATCCACGCTTGAATCTTTACCTTGGACTTCACAGATGTCTTTCCAGATGGCCTGACAACCATCTGGATCCTCGAAATGAATTGCCATGCTGTGGTTCCGAGCTTCAGACCAAATGATTATATTCTCTTGTTTCTGATAGGACACATGAGTCTCTATCTTATACTCCAAAATCAGGGAGCCATCAGATTCCGAATGAACAAGGAGACATATGCCCTGTAGTCTGTCGATGTACTTTGAAGAGATTTTCCCTGTGCCTATCTTTTCCCACTCTTTATCCTCAGTGATGGTAAATACATTTACATTATGAAACTTCTCCGACATGATGAATGTTAGCCTTGCGGGCTGGCTAGGCCTAATCTTCACGTGAGCCTCAGCTTTGCGTACTCTCGGTCGTAGCAACCACTACCGTAGCCAAAAACAGTGATCAAGGTGGCAATTCTGAAAAGCTGTTAAAAAAAAAAAAAAGGTAGCCGATTATTAGTGGTTACAAGACTAGCTGATGCCAAAAGTCAGAATAATTCCTGAGAAGGAAGTCCCTGATACCTCTCAATGGCCCATATACCAAATCATCCCCAACAAAACTGCTCGCAGGCACTCTTGACTCTTTGAGTCTGCATGAGTTCTGGCAAGAATCTTGTGATGCCCACAGTAGTCTACCTGAAGAGAACGTGCTTAAGTAACAATTACTGTATTAGTTAAAGGAACCTGCCCCCTCTAGCTTAAACATGCAATTTTAGAAAATATTATCTGGCCGGTCGTGGTGGCGCACGCCTTTAATCCCAACACTCGGGAAGTAGAGGCTGGTGGATCTCTGTGAGTTCAAGGCCAGCCTGGTCTACGTAGTGAGTGCCAGGCCATCTGGAGGCTACAGTGTCTCTGTCACAGTAAGACAAAGAAAGAAAGTAAGGAAAGAAAGAGAAAAAGAAAATACTGTCGGTTTCTATAAAATTATTTTTATCAGAAATAGTTTTACTCACCAGATGCATGGGGGTTAGAAAACTAGGCTCTTCAGCAAAAGAGTGTTTAATCCTCTATGTCTTGGCCAAATCCATACTTCACACTAAGTGTGGAAGAAAGGCTGTACCAAATAAGGAGCAAGGGTAGAGACCCAATTCCATTCCCCAGAATCAGAGGAAATATGACTGGATTTCTTCACAAGTCTTGGCCTAAGCCTGTATTACTTTTATACATATCGGTGGAAGTTATTTTTCTGAAAGTTAGTATGTCAGGCCCATTGCTTCAGCTCAGCCTGAAGATTTACCTTCCAGTACAGTTGGTGAAACATTTCCTCAAATGCTGTCCTATGTGTACATATAAATTTTATCCTTGAGAAGGACTAGGGGCAAAGGAGGAGTGAGCTAAATTTGTCAAGGGGCTTTACTGACAATTACAGATGAATTATTTCATTTTGTTTTTCTTTTGTGGTTCTGTGGATTGAACCCAGGGCCTTGTACATGCTAGTCATGAGCTATAAAACTGAACTTTATATTTAGCCTATGTCTTGTAATGATATGAAGATAATAAACAAAGAAATGCTAAAATTTTAGTGAGTAATTATTATGAAGAAAGGTAATAGCATAATTGTTCAAGTATAAAATTTTAGTACATTTGGGCCACCATGACAAGGACTTTATATTCATGCATGCCTAATTTTCATAATAATGTAGTGATATAGGAGTACTAATAAACACTTTCACATCTCAGAACAGCCAAAGAAGTCAAATAAATTGTTAAAGGTCACATATTTAATAAACTGAGGAATTTTAATTTGCTCATGTCTTTCTAATTCCAAAATTGGTTTACTCAAGAATTGAACTGCGATTGCCTTCTTTTCTTGGCTTTCATTACACTCCGTTTCACATTCCTCCCATCTATATAATTTGTAATCAACATAAAATAATCAAGACATGATGAAAGTCACACATTTCCTCCTTTAGATCCACATCTGTGTATAGCCAACTGAAAAATAGAAGCTTGGATATGGCAACTCTGTTAAATATAATTTTAATAGTAACTAAGTTGATTTTTGATGTAACAGCAACTTCTGCAGTTTTCTTTTTCAAGATTTATATTTCAAAATGTTAACCCTGTTATTTCAAGGGAAAAACTGAGAGTGAACCATACCAAGCCCATCTGAACTTGAAAAGTCCTATTTGTAGTATTCATTTGATTTTACACAGTATTGGAGATTTGTGATCGTTCTCAAGTAGGGCACAGAAACAGTTCTATACGCTTCTCTTGAAATGCAGTATGCAGAAGACAATACTCCAGAATATTCTTCAGGACAGTGTGGCTCAGGCACTAGGGAAGTTCCATGCAAATGATTATCATTTGCAAAAAATAATTCAACCAGTGCAAGGATATTAATAGTTTAGAAATGTTTAAAAATTATGAATCTTGTTTAAACATAAAGATTATTGACTACTATAATAACTGATACTTGTATGATTTTAAAATACCTTGTTTCAATGAAACAATTATAAACATAAAATTAATAACATGTATGATAATCATTCAATTTATTTATTTTATTTATTTTTATTTTTTATGTGTATGGGTGTTATGCCTGCATGTAGGTAAGTGCACCCATGACCTGCAATGCCCACGGAGGACAGAAGAAGCTGTCGGAGCCCCTGGAACTGGAGTTATGGACAGTTGTGAACTGCTGTGTGGGTGCTGGGATTCAAACCCGAGTCTTCTGCAAGAACAGTAAGTGTTCTTAACCGCTGAGCCGTCTCTCCAGCCCCTAATCATTCAGTTTTTGTCTCTGCTCTGTTTATATTAATCTCTCTCAAAATCAATTATTAATACTGTCAGTTCTCTGAACTTGCCTTTGGGCACCATTCTAAGAGAAACATTCAGCATAAATCTTTATCTTCTCACAATTTTATCCCTTGATGTTCCCTTTAGGCCAATTAAGGTTCCTTTATCTTAATTAGGTTAACAAGATTATCTTTATAATTTAAAAGAGCTTCAAGACCACAGTTCTTATTGCTCTTACTGAAGCAGTATCCTTTAGTTGTTTTCTTTCAACTTCTTTGAGGAAATAATATTCCTCTTTTCTTCATTAATTATATATTACTGACACTATTACATGTTGTTTAGGTTCCCATTGATTTCCAGAGAAAAAAAGAATATAGGCAAACAAACTCTATATCCTAGGCGCTATATAACTCATTTTGTATGTATTGTTTATTTTTGGAATTAATTACCATAGAGCAGTGGCCAGAGGAAGATATTGCTATCACCTTAGAAGAAAAAATATTTCAAAATCCAAAATTTAATAAGTTTTTTATACAAATTCTTGCAGTAAGTTATAGTATCATGACTTGAAAGTAAGTCTTTTATAATTCCAGTTCTCTTCTTAGGTCTTCCCAACATAACATGCTGTCTCTCAGATGAAATTAATGATTTTCTACCTCACGAAGCTGAAAAGTCGTCATTCTATCTAGAGACTTTACAGCCTGACTATATTTGTCCCACTTGACCTACCTGAACTTTTCAGCTCATTGAGACTTTCACCTGTATCCCGCTCCAGGTTCACTAGCTGCTAACTGTGTCTGAACTAACTCAGGGCATTTGTACCTGCCTTTATTTTAACGAGACATTTACCATTTCTCAGTAAGGATTTGTCTCGAATACTCATTTCTTTAAAAAAAATATTTACTAAATATCCTTTTCCTCACAGGAAATCCACTCTACCAATTTCTTTCAAATTGGAGGGACCATCCATTTTTGTCTTTGATTGTATTTTCCCCATAGCACTTAGTGTTTTCTGAACATTTCCAATTCATTATTCTGTTTTTGGAAACCAATGTATTAGTTATGTAAGGGATGCGTTTCTCTGTTTTGCTCACTGCTTTGCTCCTGAGACCAACATAAAAAATAGTAGTTCTGGACAATTTTAATGACGTGTTTGTGTGTGTGTGTGTGTGTGTGTGTGTGGTCACTGAGCACCTCTCATTGATAGGATCTATGTTGGGCAATGGGGGAAAAGGGACAAATTTGAACTTTATATCCAGCCTTCTTAAGGAGTACATAGTTTTATCAAGAAACTTTCCTAATTTACAAGCTACACTATTATTGTCTTGCAACCTCAGTCCCAATCGGGGTAGTTCTTTATTTATTGATGATTATCAAAGAAGCAATATTTTCCAATTTTAGACTTTTCATTGTAGAAGAAGCTACTGTATTGTATCAGGTAGATATGTTCCTTCATATTCTCTCAAACTTTTTTTCTATAAGCTTGAGTGAAATATCAAGTAGAAATACTGGCTTTTCTATCTACTCTCTTAGTTACAGAAATAACTGAAATTTTCTAATATTAAATAATTCAATTGATTTCAAGCTTTTGTCTGAGTCATGGTTTTTTCAAAGCAAGTTGATGACCAAGGACAGAATTATGGGTTAGTGAGATATACTATAAGTAGAATGAGGTGTCTTAGCTAAGTTATACAGCAAAGGGCAGAGATAAATGAAAAGGTTGGAGACATTTGTGCAGTCTTCCACAGACATGAGAAACAATTGTGAACTGGAGCCTAACTGGTTACATACATAATATTGAGTATGAGAACAGGTAGCCCTTTAGTTCCACCGAAAAACTTAACCGTGCTATGTGGTTTTTTGTTTTGTTTTTGTTTTTGTTTATGCCACGTTGTCTATAATGTTCCAGGAGCTTCAGAAGCAGGAATAATTTCAGTATTTTCTTGGATACACAGGCTATTAGTATTATCACTTGTGTATTCTGGGCTGTATGTTTGGATTTCTTGGAAGCTCCAAATCATTTGCTCACATTTCATCAATTTAGGTCAGGGGAGGAAAGGTGGAAAACGCTGTCTTGGTCTCGTGTAAATTTTCTGATCTGATTTTGAATGTCACCTCCCCTGATTTCCTTCTAGACACATCTTTAAAAGTTTTGTTTAAAAGACTTAATGAATCATTTACTCAGTGACCCCATTTGGCCACATGAACAACAACAATACAACAACAGAATGTAATAATTTCCTGTGGGAATCTCATAGTACAGCAAAATGACTTTCAGAGTAAACTGAATACAAAAGAAGAAATAATCTGAAAACCAGAACAGTGGAGGACAATACATTAAGGGAAATTAATCAGGCTCAGAAAGATACCACATATACTCACATCTACATAAAACCAAATAGTTTGTTTTAAAGATGTAATGAATAAAATTGTTGTTAACAGAGCCTGGGTAGGGTATGGGGCAGATAAATGATGTCGAGAGAATGGTTAATGTGTACAACAGTGCGGTTAGGTAGGAAGAATACTTATCTCTTCTTTTCTACTTAGATACACCATTA